CCACAGACAACACAATTTACAATATTTTTACACACAAAAAATTGTGAATATAGTTCAGATATATAACTTACATATACCAAAAATTTGTATTGATATTAATAAAACTGGCTGCAAAAAAAATTCACAAAATAACCGCTTTTTTTTACACTCGAAGGTGACGTGTCCCCTTAAAGCGCCTCGAATAGTGATAACAAAACTTTAAACGCGTTTTTCTCGAAACTACATTTTTCAAACTGGGCGGACTCAGAACTCGAGCATCATTTAATCGATTGACTTGAAATTTTGAAGATAGTTTGATAGTTGTATTATCTACAGAAGTACATATCCAATTTTTAATTGAACGAAAACTTTTTTTTTTATAAACAATTTTTTACATTCTTTTTTTTTCGAAAAGTCGATTTTTTTATTCAAAGTTGCGTCATTTTCACAAAATTTGACTTAGAGAAAAATCCGTATGTACTTCTCAAGATAATAGTACATAGATTAAGAATTTCTTTTATTTTTTATTCTAAGTCTCATAGTTGTCCAGGTATAAGTCCGCCCGTTTTACCAAAAAAAGAAACAGGTTTTGATTTAGTCACGAATATCGACGCCATTTTCGATGTAAAATCAATACAAATATTTGTGTACATAGTTCAATATATGATTAACCAATCTACAAAAAAGAAATTCTATTTCTCATTTAGTTTTCGCAAAAAAAAAAGGCTTTTTTCGGGCTCTATAGTGATGTTACACCTCAAAATATTTACAGAATAAGATTTCAGTCGAATGGAATTTTTGATATCGATAAAAATGTTTTTTTCCATGATTGAACATTTGTAAACACAAATTCATGCGTAAACACATGCAACGGATATTTATCACTTTTACATTCAATTTGACTGTCGGAATAAAGATAAGACCGTAATTTGAGTTAGACATTAAGTTATTTCAATCTTATTAGATATGATAAATAAATAATTGTATAGTAGTAGATTATATAATCGATGTATATATCTTATTTTGAAAATCAAATATATTGAATTTCAGCTTGAATACATATGTTAATAATGTTATCAAGAACGTTGTTATCATAAGTTCAATGTACTGTGAGATCATCTACGATAATACAGTACATATACAGATACAGTAATATCAGAGTTACAAAATTAAATTGATCTTGTTAGAAACATTTGTGTTTATGACTTCCTGTTGTTCATTTAGCATAAAAGTTCATATACGTAGTATCATATCTATATTTTGCGAAGATGTTGCATATATTTTACGATTGAAGAACGTATGCACTCTCAGTTGAGTTTGCATTCACATAATAATGGTCTGATAGTTAACGTCTATAATTTGATATTGATTGAGATAGAAAGACATAAAAGAATAATTAATAATTTAAGTGTTATGAATTATTATCGTTTTTCATGAATTAACCGAAATACACGATTAAACACGTTCGTCACCCAGCCCGTTTTGGTTGAGTTTCTCGCCAGGCCCAAAACTCGACTGTCGGTGCGTCTACGTAACATAAAGAAGCGATAAGTAGAAATATCAACAATACGACCTGAGTATTATGGTTGTATTATATATAATAATAAAATATATATAAATTACGTGTCACGTTGTTTGTCCGCAATGGACTCCTAAACTACTGAACCGATTTTAATAAAATTTTGCGCACTGTGTGCAGTTTCATTCAACTTGAAAGATAGGATAGTTTATATCTCAATTTATAATCGCAATAGTATTTATTTATTAACAAAGTGTCATGATTATTTCTGTTAGTTCGATAAGATTCTAACAGATGGCGGTATAAGGTAATTCGTTGACTTAAAGACGTGTGTATCGGACTAATTGTGAGCCACAGTATGGTATAAAAATATCATGTTCGTAGATAATCCTTTACGATTTAATTGAATTATTTTTTAAATGATACAAAATATAAAAATCATTTTTTAGGGGATATTCTGGTCTAGAAATTTGAAAAAATCGATTTTTTTTTCTTCATATTTTCAAAGCTTAACTTTTTAAGAATATGTCCTCAAGAGGATTTTTCAAAATTCAATTTATTTTCGGAGCTATAACTGTTTTAGTGACGCCACATCCTATTTCCTACACTTATCACGCGTAATTATATTATATAAAAATAAAATATAAGAATCTGATTTTTTTTTGTTTTTTTCAAAATGGCCGCCGTAGTAACTAATCTCCTGAGACCCTCGCAACGAAACGCATCAATCATGGTGATTTTTAGCTTTAGTTACAGCAATCTAAAATTTAAAAAAAGGGTCGGAGAGTGTTCATAAAACATGTATCTTCTAATTGAACAAAAGAAAAACTAAAAAGTCAAAAAATCCTAAATTGGCACGACTCAGACAAAAAAGTCTGATTTTTGACCCTTTTTTTAAACGGTTTTTGGGTCAAAAATGGCAATTTTTGAAAATTTTTGTGGCCTTTTTAAAGTTCAAATAGAAGCTAATACTATAAAAAAAATGTGTGCTAAATTTGATAAAAATCGGTTGAAACCTTTTTGAGTTATCTTTCATTACAGTTAGATAAAAGTCATTTCGAGAAAAACGCGTTCAAAGTTTAGCGTTGGCGTTTAGCGCCGAGTTGAGGCGAAGCACTTAAGTGAATTTTTAATCGATAAATAATGCGAATTTCATTCTAAAAATTTACACGCATATTTTTCAGATGGTAAACTAACTATTTCTGAAAAAAAAAAAAAAATTCGATTTTTTTTGTTACTTTTAATGTATCGCCGGCCTTAATTGTGTCCTTCTAATCAAAATTTGTCGATTGACGATCGTGTTTCGATAAATTTTCTTGATCAAGGTATATAAAAAATTGTAAAATAGTGCGGTACCTTTGGCGGTTTCCTTTTTCAACTCTGTAAGTTAACTAACGTAAGATCTACAAGCAACTTTCTAATCTCAGTTTCGTGACGATTGCAGTCGGTTGTAGGTTCTAAATAGACTTGACTGTTTATATCTATTAGTCACGTGTCAAAAAAAACAATAATAAATTAGCGTTTATGATATTATTAGGTATAGATCGGTTGACTTTAAAAGGATAATAAAGATCGAAGTATTTTCCCTTGTGCTTCTTCTGATATTCGTCAAATTGGAAAAGGAAAAAAGAAAGAGAGATTGCAAAAGTAAGGTTTTTTTGTTTCACATTGTAAGTTAATACTATACATGTAATTAACGTCATCAATGTTAAAAAAAGATCATTCAGAAAAGAATGAAATGAATCCATTTTTCTTAACCGTATAACAACGGTTTCATAACAACGGTTGGCAATACTGAAGAAGATACACACCATGTATGTGAGTATGTGTGTTTATGTCGATGAGAACACGTAGAACGTTCGATAATCATTCAAGCGATTCCTTTTTTCATACAAACGTGCCATCTTTCGGTGAATTGAAGAATTACTCGGTACGTTCTCGGTTCCGGTCTCGTCTTCCTTCTTACTTATAATTACGTATTGCTTTTGACGTTTTGTTGAAAGTTCCTCTTAGTGGAAATCGACTTTTATCGTGTTACACGTGTATCTTCATCGATTTTCATGAGAGAGAAGTTCTCCTTCTGGAATCGGTATTTTATTTGAAACGTAGCACAAGTCAAATCTATATGTCCATTTACGGAAACATGCCTTTCCTTTTTGTGAGAGCTTTATTGATTAACAGTGTTGGAACCGGCCGGCTGTAGTATGGTTGTTATTATCGTAAACCTACTCTCTGTCCATTATAACGATCGAAATGTTTCCTTGATATCATCATACGTTCTATTTTGTTTCAATGCATGTACGATTTCAATGACGAACGTAGGATAAGATATGAAATACACATGAAGAGTTTCATAAATCTGAGGTAATTATAAATCTTGATTTATTTCAATATTTTTCCTCGTATTATTGTTAAATATGTTCACCAATATATATTCCTTCATACGCGAGTACTTACTTTCAAAATGGCGACTGTTGAAAAAAAAGGCGCGAATTTGTGACACTCGACTCACCACGTATTTTTTATTCCTTATTTTTACTAGAATTCTTTTTTTTTGCAAATTATTTATTCTTTTTATCGACGTTTGTAGTTGAATAAATGTGATGTTAAATTATTCACATACATATATCTGGATTATGAAACGTAATAGAGTAGATACACGTAGGTTACTTAAATATCTATTAATGATAAATAGATTTGAATGAAATATTTCGTATTACGAGTTTGTTATCTTTATCAATGAAATAATAATTGAATGATAAGTGACTATTGAATGAATGTTTAGTGCTGCTATTAGGATGGAATTCTGCCGAACTTTTAGGGCAACATAGTGCGCATGTCTCTTACTGTATAAATAAAAGAGCGCGAAGTTTAGTAAATTGTATGTGTTAATAATTGTTTTCTTTCGAACGTTCATTTTTATTATAAAAGTGTTCTTCTGTTCGAATATAATTATTTCTTTGATATATAGATATATTATACATCAATATTATTCAATAAAACGAATCACCATATTTAACACGTTCATCGTCCAGCCCGTTTCGGTTGAGTTTCTCGTCAGGCCCAAAATTCGACTGTCGGCGCGCCTACATAACGTAAAAAAGTGATAAGTAGAAATATCAACAATGCACACAACCCGAGTATTATGGTTATATTATATTATTATTTTTTATTTATCGAAAATAATAAATATAAAAATATCGTTTATTTACCGAAAATAATCTTAATATATATAAATTACGTGTCACGTTGTTTGTCCGTAATGGACTCCTAAACTATGGAACCGATTTTAATAAAATTTTGCACACTGTGTGCAGTTTCATTCAACTTGAAAGATAGAATAGTTTATATCTCAATTTATAATCACAATATTATTTTATTGCAAATTATTTATTTATTAACAAAAAGTCATGATTATTTCTGTTACTTCGATAAGATTCTAACAGATGGCGGTATAACGTAATTCGTTGACTTAAACACGTGTGTATTGGACTGATTGTGACCTACAGCAACGCGTGGCGAGTTATCTTAATATATATAAATTACGTGTCACGTTGTTTGTCCGCAATGGACTCCTAAACTATTGAAACGATTTTAATAAAATTATGCACAATGTGCGCAGTTTCATCCAACTTGAAAGATAGAATAGTTTATACCTCAATTTATAATCGCAATATTATTTGTTTATTAACAAAGAGTCATGATTATCTCTGGTAGTTCGATAAGATTCTAACAGATGGCGGTATAAGGTAATTCGTTGACTTAAAGATGTGTGTATCGGACTGATTGTGAGGCACCCCTAGTAAAATATAAAAATATCGTTTATTTACCGAAAATAATTTTCTTTTGAAATAAGAAATGTGCTAAGTTTTTCCCACTAAAAATACTATAACTTTAACAAAAAAGAGCGTTTCACTGTATATGGTGACGTGGTGGGGGGTGAGGCCCGGAAAAGCATGCCCGTCTCCGGCATACGGTGCCATGGCGACGAACGTTTTAACAGTAATATATATTTGCGTGTATATAAGTAGTTTATTTTTTTATATCAATTATTGTTTTTTTTTCAAAACCAAGACTCAAATGAAAAAAAATTGTTATATCCAAATTTTGTATTGTTTTCCTTTTTTCTACGAAGAATTATTTTTCTTGTCTGATAATACGATAATTTCTAAATTAAATTAAATAACAAAATGACTTTCTATTTGTTTTTTACGAATTCTTTCAGTAGGAATTGAATAAATGCACCTAACAACACATGCACATTCTTTCTACTCGCTTGTGGAATTCTAGTGGAATTCTAGTAGAGTCACGACTAGAAGTGAAAGAACCAATCAGGACTAACTATAGGTGTACACATTCTATAAATAGAATATGTGTTTCGGCGAGTTTGCAACGTTGTCGTGGGAAGTCGGTGCAACAGAGAGAAAACTTTTTCCTTACACAAAATTACTTAATTCTTATCAACGAGTAATTAAAATCATTGGACGTTGGAATTAATTGTTGTTAATTAATTAAAAAAAAAAAAAATCAATCCAAATTGATTTTATTCTCATTGATTGGTTATGAATACATTTATAAATGCATATACATATATATATATATATACATTACATAACTATAATATGTGCCGGTAATTACAATGGTGAATTTAATTAAAAAAAAAAAAAATTGAATTTTTTTTCATTTATTTATTTTCTAATATAAATAATTGTAATATAAAATAAAATTTTATAAAATAAATTTTGCTATAATTTCATTTTGACTTACAATTTACTATCATCATTACCGGTGCATTTGTAATAATATTATTTATTTATAGTAAATATATATTTTTAGTATCGATTTAATATGTATAAATATAAATATAAATATAAATATAAATATAAATATAAAAATAAAACTTAATAAAATAATATTTGTATTAATCGACCTTAGTGAATTTGTCACATTTATGAATATATATTAATGATGAAAGTAAACGTTGTTGGTTAATTTCGTTTTCGTTTCGTAACCATTCCTGGACAAGATGCAATTCGTTTATCACTGATGCATCAATCCATGAGTGCACATTATCAACGTTGCCACGCGATACAATTGCATTCTTAGAAGTGGTATGATTCTTTTTTTTCTGTCGAAGAGAGTAACTAAATCGTACGAACATATTCTATTCATAAATAAGAAAATGTCGAATATTTTTGTCATCGTGAAAATTGATATAAAGAAAAAATTCTTTTCTTATTAAAATCAATTTTTTCCTCTCCAATTTTTTAATAAAAAATCTTTTTTTGTAATATTTATTTATAAAGATAGATTTTTCTTATTCTTTGTGAAATCATATTTCTGTTAAAGTATTATATCTACATTATTACAGCAAAACTCGTGAATAGCGGATATCCGTTCATTGCTGTTTACGTATGTATTGAATACAGTGTACATGTATATATTTTGCATGTATATCTTATGAACAGTCATGCGTATCGATTATATATTCACTTTTTTAAAATAGACCAAATTATCATTGAAATTGAATCACGTATCGATAATATGTTAAGGGGTTATATACAGTTAGACGGCCGAAAAAAAGTGAATTTTCCAGAATTTTTTCTGAGAAACCTTTTAAATTTATTGATCCAAAAATTTATACACATATTATGGTATCTTTTAACTGTATTTTAAGACTTAGTACTAGTAAAAATATTTATTTGAAAAAGAGCTACAGCTGATCTCCAGGAGCTCCTCTCAAAAAAGACGTTTTGCGGTGACCACTATATATCGGAATTGGATCATTTGAAATTAAAAAACCAAACAGATTTCGTTAAAATAATGTTAAATCTAGTAATTAATCGAAGGAATAAGCAAAATAAAATTTTTTGACAAAATGGCGGTTTCTCAAAAAAAAAAAAAAATCGATTCTTCACCGAAATTTCGGCCTTAAATTGTTTATAAAAAAAAAAATATCTATCAGAGAGAAAAAATCTTCGATTAATTACTAAAAAATATATTTAAGAAGGTYGTGTTAAAATTTGAGACTAATCGGTTTAGCYGTTTTCGAGTAATGTTGGTCACCGACTTTGATAACACCATTTTGAGAAAAACGCGCTTAAAGTTTGGAATGCACTTTACATGGGATAAAAAACGCCTTTTCAAATTAGCTTGTAACTTTGAAAATATTCACCGGAACGATATGAAATTTTCTGTGTGTATTCTTAAATATATGTACATTAAGAAAATAAAATTAAAAAAAAAATCGATTTTTTGAAAATTCTAACTGTATATAACCCCTTAAGGGACCATCTCAGTGTAAAATTTAAAAAAAAATCGATTTTTTTTCGGTCTCATTTTGAAGTACATATAGTTGTGCGTGTTCTGTACAATTTTCAAATTTCAATTCGAATTATTACAGTCGCTACAACCTTTTTTGGAAAAAGAGATTGGAGCGTAAGTTGACGCGCGCTAAACTTTAAACGCGTTTTTCTCAAAATGCCCTTTTTACAAACGGTGTCACCTCTCAGAGGGAGAGTTTTCGAGCTATCGACTTGAAATTTTTACAGAATTTTTTTTACTTTATTCTTTATGACCCTATGGAAGCTTTTTTTTTTTAGTTCTTCCTATTTTTTCACACGAAAAACTGTTGAAAAACAGGGGCTAAATTTCGTACTTTTTCTTCAAACCGTCGCCATTTTGTCAAATTTCAAAAAAAAAACCTTCATAGGGACATAGCGGCTTCCCTATAGATTAATAATCAATTTGATTTTTTTGTTTGAAATGCAAACTGCGATTGCAATCGTTGACACCGATTGCCCCCATTTTTTTTACTCACTTTTTCAAATAATTATTAATAAAAAATATTTTTGTATTTTTAAAGAGTGGTCTTATTCGGGGGGAAAAAAGAACATCCCGATCCCCTCCTCCTATCCATCGGAAAAAAATCACGAAAATTGACTATTTTTTGGGCCGGTTACACTGAGATGGTCCCTTAAGGGGACACGTCAACAAAAAAATTGATTTTTTTTTCGATTTTCTGAAAGAATATTATTTCAAAAATATTTCTTCAAATTTTGGTAAAGATCCGCGCATTATTTACGAAACTGTAGCGCTCCAAGTAAGTTGCCCAAACTTTAAACGTTAATTTCTCCTATTCGCGTTTTTAAAACGGTGGCCCTCGCTGCGTCCAGACCATTTATCCGATCCTTACCAAATTTTGTACAGTAATACTAGATACACGTATCTAGGGAATGAACGAAAGGATTTTTCGAAAAAATGCCAACTTTTTTTTTCCTCAAAAACTCGGTGATTTTTCTGCAAAATCGTCAATTTTTTTCGCAAAAAGTCGACTATTTTGAAAAAAATTAAAAAATCAAAAT